GGGTCCGCAGCCTTGCCGCCCGGTCCGCGCTCCGCCGGCCGAACACCAGCGCGGCGGAGGTGCGTGCGCCTGCGGGGACACACGGCCCGGGCCCTCAGTTTCCCCAGCCGCACACCTCGCTTTGCTGCTGAGTGCGATCTGGCACCTCTGCGGGGCCCCTCCTGAGATCTGGGGTGCCTCCCACCTCGGGGAAAAAAGAAACGGGGGTTCCCAGGTTCTGTGTCCCAAGGGTCACCCCTACTTCCAGTCCACGTGAAGGACCCTGGAAGTACAGCGAGGTGTCACTTTGGGCGCTTTCCACAAGGACTGTCACGTGGGCTCCCATCTCTGAAGGGCGTCAGAGCCCCCGCCTCGCCCCAGGCCCCCACTCACGCCTCTGCGGGGGTCTCCTTAAAGAGGCCTCTCTCTGGCCCACCCAGATGGAGTCGCGCAGCAGCGGAGCGGAAACTTCATCTAGGGGTCCCAGGGCCAAGTGGCCAAACCGCTGTTCGCAGGACTCTTGGGCTTGCCACCAGCTAAGCTGCTGCCCGGGGAACTTGCAAACACTGTCGGTGGTCTCCACCACCTCGCCAGGGACCGCGGGGTCTGGAGGACAGAGGAGAGGGTGTGGGACGTGGGAGCGCATTTTGTGGGCCCTTCATCCTTTCCGCAGTGGGCAGGGTCACCCAACGATGTGGCGCTGGGAGTCTTTCGGCCCGCGATGGACCTGGCCCCTAGCTATGCCCTGTGGCCTGGTCAGCCCCCCCTTGGCAGAGCCTTCCCAGACCTGTGAACAGGAGTGAGGGGGACACGAGTGGGGCTTCCTACCCAGGGCCTCCCACGGTGGGGTCTAAACTTAATCTTTCTTCTCTTCCCTGGCACTGGAAAAGCAGGGGCTCCTTCATACCAACCTGTGGCCCAAGGGTTCCTTGATTCATTTGGGGAGTCAGAGGAGGTGCCAGAGAGACTCCAGGTCTAAGAAAAGACAGCTGGGGCTCAGCCAGGTCCCCCCCCCCCACGTGCAATCATTGAATGCCTACTGTGTACTGCAGGAGCTGCAGTGGAAGCTCAGGCTCTGGCTCAGTGTGATCTTAGGCAGAGCGCTCCACCGCCCTGAGCGATTTCGGCCTTGTGAAAGGGGGTGAGAGGGGTAGTACCTTGTGGATACTTTTGCTGTTTCCATGCCCGGCTCATTTTTCATAATCTCTGCAGTGGCCTCATGATATGGAGTGGCCACTTGGAACCCTAGCATCTTTGGGTCCCCTTGAAGTCCCCCAAGTCCCCTTTCCAAAGCGCAGGTACCAGGAGGTGGAGGAGGCAGTAGCACCAGGAAGCCATTCTGGGTATCTGGATCCAGCAGAGGCAGCAGAGTCGCAGGGGTCGCAGGCCTGGCCTTTGTGGACTGACAAAAAGGAAAGCAGCTCAGCATCCTGCTTTGCTACCCCCTCTCACTCCAGCAGGGTCACAGTGCCCTTTATTTGGGTTCCAGATCTCATCAGGCTGGGGGCCAAGCAGGGATTGGAGCCCAGGAAAGTGTGGCCACCCGCTGGGGATGACATTTGCTTGCATAAAAAGACAGTTTCTGGGAGCCCCTTCAAGACTGAAGCTGGGAAACAGTAGCCCTGGTGAGCAGAAAGGGCAGGAAGCAGCACAGGTCCCTGCAAGCAATGGGCAGGGCTGCCCCACACGACACCAAGGTTCTGCCTCATCTGCCCCAGCATCCTCTGTCTGGTGACCTGTTCACCTGCTCTTCAAACCATAGGCTGTCCCACGGTCCCTGGGTAGCATCTTGTCTCCAGACCCCTGTCCTCCATACCGGGGATTGAACCCAGGACCTCTGCACTGAGTTACATCTCTAGCTGTTTTTATTTTTTAAATTTTGAGACAGATTCTTGCTAAGTTGTCAGGCTCGGCTCAAACTTGCAATCCGCCTGCCTCAGCCTTCCAGAGTGTTGAGATTTCTTCTCTGAACTTTTGCCATGCTGTCCCCCACCCCACCAGCGGCCTCCCCCTCAGCGACACCCCCTCCAAGCCAGTTCTCTATTGCGCAGTCTGCCCAGCCCTGATGATAGATCTGCCACAGCTGGGTGCTATACTGAGCTGGGGTTACGCTAATCATAGTGATCTGGGGGTCACTCCTGGTGACCTGGCAGGTGGGAGGATTTGCAGGTGGGGCAGAACCTCCTGGAGCCATCACCAGTGATAATTCATATGCGTTCTTCCTTTCCACAGGAAATCAGCACAAAATCAGACATGCTCCAGCATAAAAGGTTCACATTTTTTGGACTCTGAAAAGCACCAATTTACTATCACTTACCGCCTTTTAAACAGCACCCAAGTTCTCCTGCCTCCACCCCCAGCTCCAAGATGGTGAGGAATTAATTTGGGAGTCTGGTCCCAGCTAACTCAGAGCCTGGCATGCGCTGGGCAGGTAGTGGGAGCCCCATAGATGCCCACCCCGCCCTTGTTCAGGTTTGCAGCTATTCTGCCCTGAGGCCTCCAGCCCCTTGGCGGCCCCCAGGCCCTCGCTAACACGGGGAGAGAGATGAGTACCTCGTAGGCAGGAGGGCCTATGACACGGGCCTCCTGTCCCCAGTTGGCCCCTCTGTTCCCATCCCCAGCTCCTCACCCGCGTCGCTGGCAGCACCGTCGGTCCACAGTCTGCGCTGCTAAGTGTCCTGGCTGCTCTCCGTTTCGCAGCACCCCGCCCCCCCACGAGGCGGGGCGGGGCCAGCTCCGCCCCCGGCCACCGTCCGAGCTCCGCCCCCTGGGTGGCTGGGAGGGGCACTTCAGTGCCAGGATGAGGCCTGTTGTGGCTTCCTACCCCCAATATGTAGGTAAAGTCACCTGATTCGAAAATCGAAGACTTGCGAGACTCGGATCCAAAGTAAACTTGTGGCAGCCGGAGGAGCCAGGAGCAGCCGCAGTCCCGGCCCGAGAGAGGAGGGTCAGTATATCCACTGCCCCCGGGGCAGAAGGCGGGCGTCTTCCGAGCCTGGCCTTGAAACTGGGTCTGTGGGTCTTCATCCAGCCCATTCAAAGAGTAAGGCAGGAGCCAGGATGGTGGTGCAACGCCTGTAATCCCAGCTACTCTGAGGCTGAGGCAGGAGGATCAAATTTTGAGCCCAGCTTGGGCAAATTAGTGAGTCCCTGTTTCAAAAGAAAAAGTAAAAAGGGGTGGGGATGTAGCTCAGTGTAAAGATCCTGGGTTTAATCCCCTGTACTGGGGGAGGGGAGAAAAAGAGCGGGTGGAAGAGAGCCTGGGGCAAGGAAGCAGAGAAAAACCGGAGGAGGACTCGGAAGATGCAGAGAGGACATACCCTCGTGGGAAAGGGGCCACAGACACTGGGGGAACTGAGCAGGCCTCAGGAACAGATTCCTGGTTGGCCCAGGGCCAAGGCTTTGGCGTCACACAGCCCCAAGTTCACACTGACTGTGCGTGGAGACACACTACCTAATTTCTCTGAGCCTCAGTTTCCCCATCTGTAACGTGTGGATGATAAACAGCACGTGAGGCCCAGGGTTGCTGAGAGATCACCATGACTTTAACTGAAGAAGCACAAAGCTGAGCTTGGATGTAGTTCCAAGCACAGGGCCCATTTAGCATCCTGGTCAGGACTTACACTTTTAAGAATAACTTGCTGGCAGGACAAGTGTCGACTAATTTTTTTTTTTATTGTGGTGACATACACAGAACGGTCAATTTACCATTTTGCAATGGTTTATTTCGAAAAGAACTGCTGCGAATGATATATTGATGCGCCGTGTGCTATTTTTCCTCCCAGCTTTTCTCTGAGTTTGAGAATTTTCAAAATAAAAACGAGGGGACAAGAGGTCACTATTTGTGGCAAAGCCTGGAGCGTTTCCCAGCTTCCTAGACCAGCACAGTGAATGCAGGACTTGCCTCACCTGGCTTTGTTACCTGGCCAGCTGTTAGTCAGCTTCCTGTCACTGTGACAAAATATGGAGGGAAACAACTTAAAGAAAAGATTGTATTTTGGCTTGTGACCTCAGAGGGTCCAGTCCATGGTCCCCCTGGCTCCATTGCTCCGGGGCCATGGTGAGGCAGACACATCTTGGTCTGGAGGCAGAGTCAAGTGGCTCACCTCGTGGTGTGCAGGAATGAGGTCATCACCAGACACGGCCCCTTGACCTTGGATGACCACCAGAACCATGAGCCAACGTAAACCTCTCTTCTTTATAAAGTAGGTGCCTCTAGTAGCACAAGACAGATGAATATACCACCCTGTACCATCTTGTTCAAGGCAGGTCTGGAGAGCCCATTTAACATATATGCAAACTGAGCCCAGAGAGCAGACAGAACCCCCCAAGGCACCTGGCAAGGAAGTGGGGGCCCCAGGTCTGCCTCCTAAATGTGCTTTCTCATGGTGGTTGAAGTGGGGTTCACTCAACCCTACCCTGCGATGTCCTTGGAGTGCCCTCTGCCTCGCCCTGCCTGCCCGTCTGAGTCCATCTGAAAGCCCTCCCTGTAGCTGGGTAACAGCCTTTTGGTTCTTGACCCCCAGTCCAACTCCCTCCATTCCCTGGGACCATATTTCCCAGGAGTCCTCCCAGAGATGGCCAAGCACTGTAGTGGGCAGGGAGGGGCCCTTGAACCCCAACTGAGGCCGCTCCTTGGCAGTTGGGGCTGGCTGGGGCTGTAGCCTGGCCTAATCTCTCCTCCGCAGAGCCCAGGCATTGTCTGGCTGCCCGGCAGCGGCCATCCATCGGCTTTACAGGTGGCATCTCTGACAGGTCCCTTGTCTCCGTGGACAGGGCCTGGAGGCTGAGGGTGACTGATGGCCACCGGGGACCTCAGGCTCATTGTCCAGGTAGCAGGGCGTGGAGCGGTGAGGGCAGCCAGGCCCCCAGGGAGCTCGAGGTGGCCCGAGGACACACTGGTCCTCATCCCTGGCCCTGACTCAGCTCCTCAGCCAAACTTCTCATAGTCCAGAGCCAGACATCTTGGAAGGGAGAGCTGCCAGCAGGGATGTTGTCACCTTGGGGCTCTCCCCGCCAGTTCAGGCTTGGCCATCAGCCAACCCACATGTGACCCAGACAAGTCTCTCCACTTCTTCCACTGAGGCTGAATCCCCTCTGTACGTAAAGGAGTCAGGCATGCTGGCACACACCTATAATCTTGGTACTTGGGAGGCTGAGGCGGGAGGATCGCTGTAAATTCAAGGCTGGCCTGGAATATATAGCAAGATTGGAAACAGAATTTCTCCCCTCTTCCACACCCTGCCCCAGGGTATCTAGGATGGGCCCAGAGCCAGCCTGACCGCCACTCCTGCCTGCTCCAGCAGCTCACCTCACACCGCACTGAGTGAGCATTCAAGGGTTTCCTTCCAGTCCTGTCCCTGATCAAAACCTTTCTATGGCTCCCTTGTGCCTCCAGGGCAAAGTCTCACCTTCCTCTCGTGGTGATCCAGCCCTGCCTGTCTCCCCCACTATGCCTCTTTCCCTCCCCCTTTGGCCACAGGGAACATCTTCTTGTCCTCTCTACCAGCCTTTGCTTATGCTCTCCCTCTGCTCAGAACAGGCAGGTTCACCACTGCACATGCTTGAGGTCTCTGTTCAACCCTTCTAGGACACTGTGCTGCGTGTACTGAACTTGCTCAGTACTGTACTGAACTTGTTCAGGAGCCCTTGGTCCCTACAAACCCCAGGGAATTTTCTGTCTGCCCACACACTCTGCAGCACCCAGGACAATCTTGACAGAGCAGGTATTTGTGTTTGTTGATGGACTGATGAGTGGATCCTGCCAGGCATGGTGGTGCATGCCTGTAATCTCAACACTTGGGAGGCTGAGACAGGAGGATCACTGTGAGCTCAAGGCCAGCTTGGGCTACATAGTGAATTCAAGGCCATCTTGGGCTACATAGCTAGACCTTGTCTCAACCAAAAAAAGAGAAAAAAAAAAACATCCCACGGAACTGGGCATGCTCAGACAGATGTCTTGTGACTATGGTCTGTATGTGTGCGTTTTGGGGACTGTGGGGCACAGGCAGTGGGACAAAGACTCTGCCCTATGGGACCCTGAATCTTGAAACATGCACCCTGACTGGCTACCAGAGGGCATGTAATGGTTGATAGTTTGTGTCAGCTTGAGAAGTTTAAAAGTTTAACTAACTCAGCAGTTCTACATCTTACAATGTATAGAGAACATGCCCCAGGGCGGCTGCTTATGCTCCAGGATGTTGTAATGCTTGATTCATTGTGTCAATTTGAGAAGTTTAGAAGCTTAACTAAGTGACTCAGCAGTTCTGCACCTGAGGGTATAGAGGACATGCCCTAGGGTGGCTGTTTATGGCCTAGGATGTAGTGATGGTTGATTCATTGTGTCAACTTGCGAAGTTTAGAAGTTTAAGTGACTCAGCAGGAGGCCAGGGTCCTCACTTTGTAAACATCCTGAGCCTATGCAAGGGGAGGGCAGGGAGATGGTATGAGTGCTACACCCGCCCCAGCATGGACAGCCTGCTTACAGTATAAGGGAGAAGAGGCTTGTTCACCCCCTTTTGCTCTTGTTGCTTTTGCCTTCTTCTGCTGTCTTGAACTGTTGTCCCTCACCATACCACCCTACCTTGGAGCCAGCTAATTGTAGACTGAAACCTCTACAAACTGTGAGTTAAAGTGAGAGAAAAGTAACCAAGACAGAACAGAACAACTATAGCACTCAGGGCCAAACTGCCTCCTTCCCACCTCAGTTAGTCAGTGGGAAAAGGCCGTCCCACCCCCCTGTCTCCACCTGTCACCAAGGCACCTCTGGAAGCTGCAGGCAGCTGAAGCAGTGGCTTCAGCTGGGAGTCAGAACCCAGCCCCACCTCCACGCCCACGCCTGGGCCCTCTCTCCCACCAACCGGCACAAGGCCTTGAATGAGGCATGTCTTTGTTCTTGGTCTCAGCTTATCTGTGACATCCGCAGCCCAGAGCCTGGCACACAGCAAGGGCTCAAAAAATACCTATTTGTGCTTGAAGGAAACCAACAACTAGCTAGGGCATGGTGGCACACACCTGTAATCTCAGTCTTTGGGAGGCTGAGGCAGGAGGATCACCATGAATTCCAGGCCAGCCTGGGCTACATAGTGAGTTTAAGGCCAGCCTGGACTATATAGCAAGACTTTATCTCAAAAACAATCACAAAACCTGGTGCTGGCACAGGTGTGAAATCAGTAAACTCAGGAATGTCACACAGTGTCAAATAATACCACCCTCTTAGAAATCAATAGAAAAATGTATCGGGGCAAAAAAAAAAAACAAAACAAAACACATATCAGGGGCACCAAAAACATTAAAATCCTTGGCCCAAGTAATTCTATGCTCTGGCAAATGCTCTGTGTATAAAGATATTAATCATATGTTATTGTATAATATTGAAAAATGGAAGCTATATAAATGTCTCACAAAAATCGGGACTTACCCACTTGAAAAAATACTAAGTCATGAAAAATGAGATAAATTGCCAGGTATGGCGGCACATGCCTGTAATCCCAGCACTTGGGAGGCTGAGGCAGGAGGATTGCTTCGAGCTCGAGGCCCGCCTGGGCTGCAAAGTGAGTTGAGGTTCAGCCTGAATTGCATAGCGAGACCCTGTCTCAAAAAGACAAAAAAAGGGGCCAGGGATGTAGCTCAGCAGCACAAGCACCAGCCTGGCAAGCACAAGGTCCCGAGTTCAATTCCTGATACCAAAAA